TTGTGCTGGATACATTCCTGATTATCTATTTTGAAGTCCATTAATAGTTTATGCAGTTGCCATAATTTTTACCATAGTTTTAATGTATACAGGTGGAAGGCAGGTAGGGCAAGAAATTATTCTTATTTGCTTGGCCATCTGATCACCCCACCTCCGTGGATTTATGATCTGCCTTGTTAGATTGAGGTTACTATTGACTAGCACTTGGAGATCTAGGTTGGCTGGAACATTAAGATGTCCAAAATGTCTTGTATCTAATCCAATCTGCTTTGGTTGGTGTACTCATCTTCCTATACAGGATTCCAACTGCTGCACCTTGTAACTGTGGCTACATATAGGAACTTTCCAGCTTCCCATGCTATACACTTAACCAATTTCTAGGACTGCATTTTAGTCCAAATAGTTAAATAGTTAAAGAAAGATGCCTTTCATAAGCAACTCCCCATTTTTATCTACATAACAGTGACAGCTTTTTAAACCATGTGATTTTTTAAAAAGATTTTTTTATTCTACCTATTATTTTTATAAATAACTAAGATGGAGAAAATAGGTAATACTCCTTTCTCCTCCTATGTTCCCCTCAACAACCCTGTGAGCTGAATAGGGATGAGGGAGTGTGACTGGCCCAAAATCTCAACTGGTTTTCATGCCTAAGGCAGAACAAGAAAAGAGTGTCTCCTGGTTTCTAATCTGGCCCCTTAACCAATAGACCAGGGGTTTCCAAACTTGGCAATCTTAAGACTTGTGGACTTCAGCTCTCAGAATTCCCCATCCAGCATTAACTAGACCAGTGTTGGCAAACCTTTTTCGCACCAAGTGTCAAAATGAGAGTGCGCCCACATGGGGGAGGACCAGAAAATGGAAGAGCAGCTTCCCAGCATGCATGCGCGCACCGGGAAGCTGAGCTTCTGGTTTCTGGCATGCATGTGTGTGTGAAGACCAGCTGGCCAACATACATACACGTGCCGGGAAGCTGCTCTTCCGGTTTTCGGCATTCCCATATGTGCACATGTATTTATGACTCAAAGAGCTAGAGATTAATGTCAGCTAACAGTGTCATCTTTTTTCACATTTACTTGCATTTAACTCCACTAGAATTTAGACTGAGGAAAAGGTTCACCCAACCTATCATCTTCTTATATGCCTTTCAGAAGTATTTTCTAGCTGAGTTGAGTAACCATAAAGATTTAATCTCAGGTAATGCATGTAGATCTGAAGCTGGAATAATTAGTGGCATGATCCAGTGCACGTTTACTAAAAAATAAAACCCACTATATTCATGGGGGCCTATTCCCAGATAACTAGTATATATACAAAGAGAATATAGCTTCTGTGCTCAGTGTTTCTATGCCCGCTTCTTTCTGCAGTTTCATCTGTTCCCCAAGCAGTCTTCAGAAGGTTTATATTGAATGGGGTGCTTAAGGGCTGTACTGAATCTGTTGTAGAATGGGAAAGCAGAAACATCTTATTCCAAAGTATCCCCAGGCTTGGAGTAAGTGGATGCTCTTTGATTCATAGGTGCTATTCTACAATCTGATTATTATCTGATAACATCTCTAGAGCAGCATTACAGAATTTGGTGCTTATGGACAACTATGTTCATGAGAAAACTCTCTCAACTGAAATAGACTGCACTTTACACATCACCCTTATATGAACTATTTCATTTTCTGAGTTTGCATGATATACCGAATCATAAAACAACCAAAAGGTTTGAGTTCACACAACACGCCTAGGCACACGAAACATGTTGAACACGTTAGATAAGTGCATCTGCTAGACCTTTTTCCTGATTTGCTATTGTAGGAACTGTACTGTAGGAATGCAGTCAGTGTACTGTAGGAACACAGTCAGTCAGTTAGAACTGATTTTTTATGATGCATAATTATTGTTGAAATAATTGGTTTACTAATATATTCTTTTAGCTGCAATGGCAATAAACGACAACTCTTTTTAAAGGTGCATGACAAAATACTTTTAAGGAAATTGAATGCCTTATTATGCTAGGATTTATTCATAACCATTGCTTTGACAATGAACAATTTCTTTAAATTTCTCAAAAGACATTGTCTTTGACAAATTAGCTTCCTTTCAAAAATGAAAAATGCAAGAATTGCACTGCTATAGGGAAGAAAAGAATGTATTAGAGAAGCAATTCTAAGTCTGAGGTGCAAGTGGCTTGAAGAAAGAGAGCTGCTGACAAAAAGCTTGTGCTTAGCTCATGCTATCTGAGGTACAAGTTGCCCAGCATATAATCATATTTGCTAAACAATTCATTAAGCTGACATTTACCAGTGCTCTTTGGGGACTGAGTTAGTTGAAGTAGAATATGACATGAACAGTATTTGACATTTTGCTGCTGGTTTAGAGGATGCATTTTTAAGCACTTCAGTGCTGTATGAGTTGCAATCAATAGAATTGAATTGAATAATTTTTACTATGTTATATGGCACTGACAAAAGACAAGGATTGGCTATGGCCAAATATTGGTGATACAATTATAGGCACTTAAAGCATAGTGGTAAGGATAGAAAGGCATCAATACTTCCCTGCTATAATTATATTCATGGACCTGTTTTCCACTGACTTTATTTAGGGTTACCTGGCCTTTTTTAGAAGTCTATGGAGATTCTCAGTTATCCAGGTCCTGGTTGTCCCAAAGGTGCTTTTTCAAAAGGCAGCTGGACTTTATTTTTCCTTGAAGACATTTTGCTTCTCATCCAAGAAGCTTCTTCAGGTGATCCTTCAGGTGATGCTGAGAGCACAAATTAAATCCCCAAGTGGCTTCAACGACTTTCAGAAAGAATGCTAACAACTAGATGACTTCAAGGAATAGAAACTTTTTCATCCCTCACCATTCAGTTAGAACTGAAGAAGCTTCTTGGCTGAGAAGTGAAACATCTTCAAGGAAAAACAAAGGTTTGGGCAAATTAGAAGAATAAGGCACTATAACAGAAGTTTTGTTGTGCTTGATTTCATTAAACTTGATATCATTTTGACTGCCTGTGAGATTTTGGGTTTGAAGGAATATTTTTCAGTAGTCTCACTCTCAGTCAACACCTCTATTTTTTTTTTTTAAAAAGTTAAAATGCCAACTGCAGCATTTGCTAATTATTATAGTAAACATACCATATCATCTAACAATTCTGAAAAACAGAGGAAAACTTCTAGATAGTAAACATGACACCATAATACTACATGGCTTCAATGTGAGGACAATCATCTAATATCCCTTGTTCTTTGAAAACTCTCCATCATATCCATACTGTTATTAGTATTAGTGTATACTATTACTATATTGGTTATTATTTTCTTTTATTCTATCAAAGTAGCTAAATTAAATTAAATTACTGAACAGTTTTATTCACAGTATTTTTTACTTTTCTGTGGCTATTTCTTATTATTCATATTTATTTATTTATTTATTTACTTATTTACTTATTATTTATTTATTTATTTATTTATTTATTTATTTATTTATTTAGGACTATGTTCGGGACAGATCTTTCTGAAGAAAATTTATGTGGTTGCTGAGAGTCAATATTAACTTGATGGCACTTGCTCATTTCTGTGATTTATATATCACTCATATGATCTCTCTCTCTCTCTTCCTCACTCTCATCTAAATGTGTGTGTGTGTGTGTCCACTGTGCACGCACACACACAGATAATTATGTTTTGATGCTTTAAACATTAGTAATATGGAAAGCCTTTCAAATTTGAAACATTTTTCATACTATTTATTAAAAAATTTCTAATCATTATTATCACTTGAAAAGTCTATCAAAAAAGATGTAGTTAAATCATTCCATGTAATTTGTTTTGAAAAAGAAGTGAACTAAAATACTTCAAGCTTCGTAGCCAAGCAGCTGTAATTTCTTTCTATGTTAGAAACAACCACACTGTGACTCTACTTGGTAGATTTCTGGCAAAGTACCATCCTTCAGATATCAAAACTGTGAATAAGAAAGAAACTGCTAAATCGTTCATGAAGATACCATATGTCACATTGGTTTGTAAAAGGAATATATATATATATGTGTGTGTGTGTGTGTGTGTGTGTGTGTGTATAATTTTTAAAATGAAAAATACAATTTGTGATTTACAGGCAAGTATACTGTACAGTAGGTTTTATTCTGTGGTGTATAATAGAAGAGGTCAAAAATAGAAAAAAAAATTCCTAGTTTGCTTCAAATATATCTATCCAGGCATTATATTAATCTTTGCTCCCAAAAATGCATTAGGGCTTATTTTCCAGTTAGGTCTTATTTTCAGGGATATATAATACTAAAGGCATCCATCTGGCTTATGTTCTTAACTGGGGCATATTCTGGGGGTAGGGTTTATATTATGAGCATCCTGGACAATCATGCTAGGACTTATTTTCTGGTTCGGTCTTATGCTAGGTATCATCCAGTGCTAGTGAATATGGAGTTTGCTTTCCCTGCCAGTATTGGTGACATGTGATTTTCTCCTTGGTATCCTAGTAAAGTAATGAAACACTACAAGCAAAGAACCATGCTCAGAGAGCATCAATGTTTCCACAGTTCAACCCTCAACTACATATATTATCTTTTATTGGATATCCAGAAGGTTTCTTCTCACATTCTCCTCCAAAAGAAAATTATCTTTCTCCTAATTAAAAAAAATCAGATTTTTCTGAAATTGGCTACATTAGATTATCCTGTAAGGTTGTAGAATGGGGCTGTCAAACTGATGGCCCATGGGCTGAATGCCTCACATACAGGCCACAACCCGCCTTGCTCCAGGAAGCAGAAAAACATCCCAAAACGTCACGTAACAGCAATATGATGGGGTGTTGTAGAAGGTTCAAATGGTTGGAGAAGATACAAGCAAAGATATAAATGAGAAAGGAAAAAAAAACATTTTGCAACCACACTTATTTCTTTACTGTGAGTCCTACATCCATTTTGCAAATGTGATCATTTTTGAGTGAACAATATTAGCTAACCATTTTCCTTATTTCTTCTACTTTGTAGATTCATACATCCTTAATCAATGGGCGACCAAGTGCAGATGATCCTTCTCCAACACTATTGGAGTTTACATCAGCTCGTTATATTCGCTTAAGATTTCAAAGGATACGGACACTAAATGCGGATTTAATGATGCTTGCACACAGAGATCCCAATGAAATTGATCCAATAGTCACAAGGAGGGTAAGTCCTGGCAAAGATGCTAGAATGTGCATTTGCAGTACTTTTTTTTCTTAGAATCCAAAAGGCTTTTGTTTTTTCAGAATTGAAATAAAGTTACTAATGAAGCATCAGTTTTTGAATTTTCTGAAATAGTCATTTCTCTTTGATATGCTCATTTAAAGAAAAATAGCAGGATGAGTATATATAAATTTTTAAGGCTGAAATATATTTTGGAGGGTTTTTTTTTCATGTTTCCCATCATATTTGTATCAAAAAGCCAAGAACAGGGACAGTGATGGACAATTCACTCTGATAATCAATTTCACTCTATTCCAAACCATATAGCACCACTCTTTGTAAACTACTGCTAATGACAGAGGTACCATTATAAATCTCTGCACCCAATGTGTCCTTCCTGATGACACATCATTAGGATTGGGATTTGTCTGAAGAAAATCAGTGTTGGAAGAGAAGAGGAACCTTGCTGTTCTCCTCCATGGTTAATATATAGGTGCCTTCATGTAGATAGCTTGAGAATATAGTTGGTGATATATTTTCTACCATAGAATTTTCTTGTTGATAAAGCTTTTGCAGAAAATTATCTATTCTTGAAGATCAGAAGGTACAGCTGATCCAATGCACTGCTGCGTAAGTTGTTATAGAAGCTTTTTGCTTCGCCCATGTAGCGCTATTGTTTTGTATGCTGCATTGGCTACTGATGAGCCTCTGGATGCAATTTAAGGTGCTAGTTGTGATCTCTAAAGCTCTGTAGCACCAAGGTCTGGTTACCTATGGGACAATCTTGTTGTTTTTGCCCAATCTTAAAGATCTGAAAAAATTGTTGTGCTCCAGGTCACAGATGTAAAGTATCACTTTATACCAAGTTATATAAAGTAGTACTTATACAATGTTTTAAAAATATTTTCTTTTCACGTCTTCTTTTGCTAAGATTGGCACATCTTAATGATAGCAAATACTTGAAGTGCTGTCCTGAATGCTTTTATGGAAAGCCAGAGGAATTTAACCATACGATTTTAGAAAGCAGTAATAATGCTTCAAATCATTCCTCTTAGAAATATGGCTCTATGAATGAACTGGAGGTCATGAATGCTCTATTCTCAGGTCATCTAAATATATGCATTATAGATCCCTGATGGCCATTTTTACTGTAAAGGATCATAAAGCGTGACTCTTGTGCAAGAAAATGATGCAAGAAATGCAAGTAAATGTTTTAATAGCCACAGGAAGTTTTATATTAACCAGTGGATTAGTGAAATTTAATGAACAACTAAAGGCACAGTTGTAAAGTTTCACTTTTAAACATACACTATTAATTAATTTGCCTCGCTTTAGAGATGACTGGAGATAATTCCTGATATTCATTCTATATAAAGAAGATTTCTTCACATGGTAGGAGCTACAGAGAGACAATTTTCAAGAAAGAGGAGATATTTGATGATTTTTTTCCCTGAAACTTACTGAATCATCTCCAATGTCCTGACTCACTGAGTCCATTTTCAACATAAAAAACTATAAAGGAAAAAAGGGTTGGGGAAAATTTCTCCCTTGCCCACAGTATTTCAACATAATTAATATCAGCATGCTCTTGTTTGGGATATGGGAAAACCCATATAGGAATGCAGAAGGAGTATAATAAGTTCATGTACCCAAAGACCTAGAACCTTATTACTGGGTTATTTTTCATAGTAATGAAATACTGCACAGTGTAAATTTATTTCTTGAGTTTTGTGAAAATAAAGCACATATTTGCTCCCATCTTTTTTAAAGCTCTTGATTAGGTACCAAAATGATACTTTCTTATTTTCAGTTTGCAACATAATAATGAAATATATCTTTCTTTTTAATTTTCTTTTCAGTATTATTATTCTGTAAAAGACATCTCAGCGGGAGGAATGTGCATCTGTTTTGGCCATGCAAAATCATGTCCATTGAATCCAGCCACAAATGTATGTATTTTTCAACACTATTCTTATATAAAAAGGGATATGCAATGTACATGTGTACAAATCTCCTTTTGTCTTGATTATACAACTTCTCATGACTGAGATAACTGTTACTTTTCAGGCATATCAAATTTTGAAAAACACTCACTTTTCAGCATCTTAACTTGAAAATAAGCTGTATTATGTTTAACAGTAAGTGTGCAAAGTATATAATAAAAATGTAAAGGACTGAAACCTTACCACGAATTCCATTAATTCTGTCTACAACAGATATGACTTTTAGTAATTTTCTTTCCTGTACAACCATTCCAGGTGTTCTATCCAGTCCCTGATATCTGGAGAAGAGGTGGGGGAAATTATAAAACCTCAGGCTTTTCTCAATCTAATTGATAGCTGATTTCCATCAGCAGAGAGAATTATTGGTGGTGGTGGAAAATCATATGCTTTCCTAATTACCTGGCTTGATTGACTGAAAAAAAATAATTTTATTTGCATTTGCATTTTCTAAAATAATTTCTTAGAATTGGTGTCTATATATACATGTGCGTGAGACAGGGATATTTTCTAGCTATAAAAGATGATCAAACTTGAATTAACTAGCACAGAATTAAACACTTTCTTCAAAAATATCTATCAATCATCACTTTATCTGAGATCATATGTATTGAAAATCTAACTTATTACTTATTAAAATTATTTTTCTCTTTAGCATATATTTCCTTTTTAGCAGGCCTGATGCAAACAGATTTAGGTTCTCTCCCCTCCCCCCCCCAAAAAAAGGAATTTTTTTTCCCAAGAAACTTTCTTTGAAATAAGGGCACAAGTGACCTTAGATTTCATTGACAGTTTATTCATTATAAGCAGTTCTATACTTAGTCAAACCTTTGAATAGAAAACCTGGGAAGGTTATTGCATAAAGAAAATTTAATTTATCTGGTGTACCATGTGGAAAGAACTTTGTGAAAACATTTGTTAATAGATCTAAGTGACCTGAGATTTTCAGGATTCCTTGATAATTGATATCATCATAATGGAAATGTGAGAGTCAATTCCTATTGGATTACTCTACCAATCGTGAAATATTTAGAACCAAAAGTAAGTTGGCTGCCCAGCAATAAACCATTAGAAAACATATTAGCATCTAATTATTATCTAGATTTGTCTGTGTTTGTCTAAAACCTCAGCTTATTTATTTGCATATATATATATATACATATGTATGTATGTATGTATGTATGTATGTATATCTATATCTATATCTATATCTATATCTATCTATGTTTTCTTAAGTTTTCGCAGGTATTTATATGTGTGGTATTCAGCTTTGTTCGGGTATTTTCCCACGTCATTATAGTTGTACTTTTAAAGTTGTAGCAATGTTTC